GGCTCCTCCCGGCCGCGGGGACCCAAGGCGACCCGAGCCCGGGTATCCCACGTGTGTCCCAGCCCAAGCGTTCCCGGTGCGTTTCCCGTTTGCGGGGTCGCATCTCTGCCTGGACACTGGCGGCGGGACGCGCTTCCCGGGTGGCAAGGCTGGAGCCCTGGCGAGCGTGACCCGCGCTTGGGGGAACCAGCGAAGCAGCAGCCTCGTGTGGGTCGAGAGGTGCTGGGAACCTGACAGCCTGCCCTATCGGTTAGGGTAAAGCTAAGCCTAAAAATAAAATTAGTACTGATCATCCCCGTGAAGAACGCTATGGGTCAGTTAAAAATCACAGGAGTATTGAAATGTATTAAAAGTGATACTAAGTAGCGTTTTACATGGAGACCAACTTGCTGGTAATGAGTTTTTCAATAGCTGAACATAGAAGGGCAGTATATGTATTTTTAATGCATTTTATAGATAGAGGTATAGACAACAGGTTTTCTCCAAGATAATGTCCCTGGGATAGAGTGATGTTTCCTCTTTTTCTTGCGGTTATTAGTTATTGCCACCCAGAAACAGCATTCGCCTGCTTTCAGAGGGGCAATAAATGTCCACGAGAAGCTACATTTTCAGCTGCAGTCCTCTGCAGTTTTGAATTTTCCTTCCTTCTTTGGACAGGAAGCTCCCATGGGATGGGCCAGCACTGCTGGACCTACCTGGCTCCCGTGGGTCCCTGCCTGGGAGCCAGTGCCTCCAGTGTTCCCCATGTCTTCTGTCTTTTCTTTATCTGTTTTCTGGCCTGAACGGCTCAGCATCAACTGCACATTGTGGAAGCCTTGCCGTCTTTCTCCTTCTCCACCCTCCAGTAAGTGGCCGCAATTTCACAGGAAATAAAATAATCCTTTACATATAGTTCAGCTGTATTATTATACTTGGCTTTAATTCAGTAGGTTGCATAATACTAATGATGTGTCAGGCACCTGGGTGAAGTAACTTGAGTTACTATAGAAACACAAACACTTTTATTTAAAATTCAGGAAAAATTGCCACCAGAGTACTATAATGAGCACAGATCAGATTTCAACCTCAGCCAAACAAATCATCTGTCTAATAACTGTATCTGCACTGAAAGCATTTGGAAGCGTGAAGGTGCCTCTCTGTCCCTCACCACCCACACTCATAGTTCGTGATTGGCAAATTGATTGCTGAGTTGAAAAAACACAGCGCATCTCGAGAAAAACATGGATCAGATTTTCAGCTGAAGTAAATACATGCAGCTTTGGAGACATCGCTCTGAGTTTGGAGCGGCTCACTGTGTGGAAAAGATTGCTAATAGGCTGATTCATGTGCTTTTTTTTTCTATCACCTGGATGATTCCTTATGCACAGTCTATAAACCCACTTTTCTGGCTGCTGAAACAGCCTTTGGTATCCCTGAGCCCTGTCTTGGAGCATCTTTAAACCCAGGGTCTTGCCTGAAGAAGAGGAGCCTGTCAGCAACAGGCCATCGCCCAAGGGAGAGACTTTTCCTCTGGTGAGCAGAGCCCACCCTTTTCCCAGAAAACAACAAGCAGTGATTTAGTAAGCAAAACTGCTAGATGAATTACGAGGAAAAAATACTGGAAGATTCTATTTAACGTTTAGATTTTTTCAGTTTCATTCATTTTTGAATTTTATTTTTCAGCATGCCAGTGTCAGAAACAAGACCATTAAACTGCAAATGCCATCCAGTCCTTTAGAAATATAAAGGTAAGGCTGATTTTAAGGCAAAAGTGACTGTCCTGACTATGACAGCCCTATCTGCTGCTGCCCTTCAGCTATGCAGCCTCCCAAGGTGCTGAAGATGGGTTCAGTCTTCCAGAGCTCTCTCCAAGGCTTTTTCCTGGAGCAGGCGCTTCAGCGAGGCAGACGCTGCTTCCTGCCCTCCTGGCTCAGCCCTTGCGGGATAAATCCTCCTGAAGCTACCGGGGTGCTGTGGTGGCTCGAGGGTAACGGCTGCCGCGCAGCCCCAATGCAGGGGTGTCTGGACTGGCATCACCCTGTGCAAACTGAAGCAAAGTCGTGGCCCGCAGCGCTGTGCTGAGGCACCTCTGAGCAGCTTCCTGGCCCCTGCGCCCGCGGAACGGCCCCGTGCGCTGCTGCCCGGGCAGGCAGAGCGGGGAGCACTGGCGTCATTTACACTGCCCTTGTTTCTTGCTAATGCACATTACCGTCTTTTTCTTATGTCGGTTTAGCCTGCTCGCATTCAGCATCTGCCTGCTTCCTGTTTCCCAGCTGAAACGGGCTTTTCATTACAGTTATATAAAAGAGATTTTATGTAAATAAGTAATTGAATCAGCATTTTTATAGTCATTACCGGTATGACAGCCATGTGGCTTCGGCACAGAAAGAAAAATAAATACCGATTCTCTTTTGTCTGCTTCCTATACTCGGTTAAAAATCACATCCATGGTAATATTTGTTACTACACCAGCATTTGCTAAGTAAAAAGAAGTGTGGGAAGCATCTAATTGCAATGTCGACTGCTGTGGGCTAATGAGAAAATGCACCTTTCAGCAGGCTGGTCATCGGTATCCATTTGTCACCTGTGCTGAATCCCTTCAGATAAACAGCTCAAGTTTTTCTCACAGGTTTCTGTTTTGAGCCCAGACTTCATGGCTCTCCTCAGGCTTAGCTGGTGCTCGGATCTGGGGTCCTTGGTCTCTGCTGAGCACAAGGGGAGAGGAGGAGGCTCCAGGTTTGCGGCAAAAGCGAGCTGCACAGAGAGACTTCGCCTCGGAGAGCCCCTACAGCAGTCGTGTACTGCGGTGCCTGGTGGCCTCCTTTCCTAACCGAAGCATGATTTTGCAGTTAGAAATTGCGTAAAGCCTCTCCCAGCAGACGGAGAGGCATATGGAAAAGGCAAGCCAGACGCCCCGCGTTTCCCTCTGCATCTCCGCATTTGTGCCGATACGTCGGACGTGCAGCGAGGAGAGGGAGACCAGGAGGGCTCTGTTTCTGCAGGTCTTTGCGTTTCAGTGGAGCCCTCCAGACCCCTCTGCGGCTGCAGGGGCTCAAGGCCCTTCCCGCTGGTGCGACGCGGGGTCAGGCTGCGCTCCCATCACGCGCAGCACGTTGCTAGCGCGCCCTTGCAGCACTGCCTCTGCAGTTCTATACTTCATCCGTTTCAGTCAAATCTCCCCTGGGTTCAGGCTTACAGTCTGCATTTGGTTCTACTTTGGCTCGTCTCTGGGTTGTAGCTTTAACAATACTCTTTTTCTCCTAGATACATCACTGCTTATTTTAGAACTGCGAGAGCAGGAATCTGTTCTTCTTTCCCCAGTAAATCGTTTGTCATATTGCTCACAAGTAGGATCACCAAAGTTATCTCTTGTAAGAAAATTCTGCACAAAGGAGGTAAATTGCACAACATTGATCATGAAGGTCAGATGACCACAAATACTGTCATTACAGCAGTATTTTGTGTTCTTAGCTGGTATGCAGCGGTGGTTTACACATAGGGCTAAACCCTTTCTCTGTCGTTAACTTTTGGGCATGCCAAAATAACAGGCTGTTAATATAGGTGCCAACAGTGAAAATCAAGTGAATTAAATCGTGTAAGTAAACAAAGACCCCAATAACTGCTTCCTAACGTTCCCTTATTTGAGGGCTTGGGATGAAATTGTGGCTCTACCGAATACTTTTATGTCAGTCATTTCCTCTGAGGTCTCATGTTGTGTGAAGTCAGGCCTGGCCTCATTCTGCTCGAGAGGAGTGACACGGCTTTCACGCTGGCTCCGGCTCTGGCCTTGGGGCTGTGCTCAGATTAAAGCTGCGCTGGAGGAGGCCCCGCGGCGGCCGCTCCGCACCGCTGGGCGCTATCGATTTTATGCCGCGCGCTGCCCGGCCTGCTCCGTTCCCATGGCGACGCTCCGCTTCCCAAGCGGCTCCGGGCCCATTTCCCGGCTGCATCGGTGCATCCCACAGCGGGTCGGGGGCACCACCCACAGCCCCGGGCAGTGTCGCTTCTTCCAACTAACAGAAATGTTTTATAAGGAGGAAAAAAAAAAAGAAAAAAAGCTGAATAGAAATAGTGACGTTTTGTTTGTCAAAACAGGCAGCACGGAGCTCCCCGCCGCCCCGCGGCGCTTTCGGCTGCCCTTCCGTGTTGCGCGCTGCTGCTTGCTCATGGAATTGGGGATGACTTCGTTTGTGCTCAAGGGGCTGTGCTTGTTTTCACTGCTGCCTGTGCAGCACGTCGCCTTCCTCACATGCGAAATAGTGAATTAAAATATAACTATGCTGCAAATAATTCCTGATTTTGTGGAGTAGACGTCCTTCTACTCAGCTGTGGAGTAGACGAGTTTTCCTCCATCTGTTTTCCTTATCACATGCAGATCTCAGGGCTCAGTCTGGGGCTCTGACCACACTGCCCAGTATTTGCCTCAGCAGGTGCATGTTGTGATCCAGGGATAGCAGGGGTAGAAGGGAGGGAAATTTAACTGGATATATAAGAGAGAGCCGGGCTTCTAGCGGGGCCTCACCCACGGGCTGGAGTTGGCAGCCCCCATCTCTGTGCAGCTGCGGCAGCCCCAGGGCCGGCCTTGCTGCTGGAAATGCAAAGGGTCCTGGGGAGACAGCGCGTAACCCACCCTGCGCAGCCCTCACTCCAGCAAAACGGAGCTCCTCGAGCCCTGGCTGCTGGGTGTGAGTTTGGTAGCGCTGCAAAGGCGCAGGATGAGCTCGCACAGCACAGGCTGCTCGCCCGGATAGAGAGGAGGCTGCAGTGCACGTTGGGCTCAGGGCATCTGCTGCCAGGCCTGCAGCGTCGTGACCACAATGAGCATGTTCTGATTTACTGTGTTATTCAATGTTGTCCAGCCCAAGCATTTCTGTGACCTCAGTATTAGCCTGTGCATTGTCTTTTCACTTAATTTAATTATTGGTTAATCTGCTGCGCCGTTTTATTTGATCTGAGCCTTAAGAACCAAGTCACATGGGCTGCAAATCATACCATGTCCATCCTTTACTTTGACTGCTCCGAGCAGGCGCTGAGGAACAATTAGATCTCTGTCCGCACCAGCTGCCACTTAACTGAGGAAGAAAAGGCATCTCTAAGAAAGACAGATGCAGAGAGAGCCCAGAGATGCTCACGCTGATAATGAAAATTAATCAAAGACCGTTAGCAGAAGCCAAGGAGCTGAGCATGTTGCGTGCCGTGCAGCCAGAGACGCGCTGCTTCCACATTCAGGTTTTTGGATTTGTTAGTTTTGACCCTCCTGCCTCTATGCCGATCATCTGTAGTTGTGTGCACAGTGGGGGAAGCGCACAACAGAGCTCGCTAGCTGATGCATCGCCTGCAGTGTAAAAATCAAGGCAAGCAAACTGAAGGGGTGAAAAGAGGTCAGGATTTTGGTTTGCACATGTACCCTTCGCCATGCTGCAGCCCTCCCACGGGCTGGCTTTGCAGCTGGTGCCCATTGCTCCCTTGTCCTAGCAAAAGTCTGAGTTTCTCTCCCGAAGCTGCATGCCAAGCGTCTGCACAGGGCCCACAGGTAGTCCCCGGCTGTGGACCCTCTTCGGGTCTGGGTCTGAGTGTTCTGTGCTTGGCCGAGGTTGCATTAACTACTGTGACTCCCAGGAAAGGAGAGCGCTGTCTGGCTGCTCCAGGCAAACCCGTTTTCCTTCCCTTGAGACAAGGCCCTCGAGGACACAAAGCCCCCAGGTGCACATGACCCTCCAGCAACACACGGCGTCAAGCGAGATCCAGGCGGGTGCCCGGCGCGGCCTCGGTGCGGGAGGGCAAAGCAAGGAGCTGAACGCGTGGCCGTGCAGCGCCCTTCCCCTCATCAGCGTGACCTTCTCGGAGCTCTTCTGCGGCGAGTGGAAGCAGCAGCATTTCCACGGCTAAATCACTTCTCTGCAGCAAATCCCTCGAGGAGCCTTTCCCGCTAGGCTCCTCCTCGCTGTTAAACATTGAGCAGGGCTGTAAGGAGCTGCACTGTGAGACGCCTCAGCCCTCACAGCCGAGCCGCCCGCGGGCCCTGGGCTCACCCCGCTCTTAACTGGAAGGCACAAGACATCGGGAAGTGGCTCATGAGCTTAATATCACAGCGTATGAAGCAGCAGGAGGAAAGAGAAGGTGCACGGATGCTTCCTTCCAACAAAATGTGATCGCAGTTGGAACAGATTCATCTAGGAAAACACTAAGCTGGAAATGCCAAGTTAATTAGCCCTCATGCATAATTTGTTTTTAAAAATACATTGCCATCTCCTTCTGGAGGAACAAAATCCTATCTTTCTCTACTGCTTGCCTGAAAAGTCAATCCTAAAAAATGTCCCTGGAGCCTAAATTGAGAGGCAATGTAGTGTTTTCAGTAGAGAAACTCTCTGTGAGTAAAAGGAGCTTAAAAATCTGCAAATTCCCTCTTTCAAGCTGGGGAGGCAGTAGCCTGGCAGGGCACTGCGCAGAGCCAACTGCTTCCCTGCCCCATTGAGTACCAGGAAGGGCCCCTGAAAAAAATCCCCATCATTATCCTGATGCCCTGGTCCTCACGGGCCCAGGGTAACAGAGGCTGCAAGGCACTGGGGCTGGACTTCACATTGCAGTCAGGTATTCTGAAAGGTCTCTTGGATCAAGGCATGACCAGTGATTCATCCCGAACTGCATTTTTTTTCTCTCTAAATTAATAGCTGAAGCAGCCTGCTGTTTCTCAGATGGCACCTACCTGCCCTCGAGCTTCTGCGCGCTCTCCATGATACAGCGTGTGTGTTTGGCTGTTATTAAATGGCTGGTAGCACTCTGCTCCCTCGGATGTGTTTGTGGAGGAAGGGAGCAGCCGCAGGGCCCAGGCAGCCCTGGGAGCTCCCATCTTCCACAGAGATAACACCAAGTGTATATTCTATTTGCTGTACTCTTCTTTCTGTGCAAGCCCGGCTGCTTTATGGAGAGCTGATGCGCAGCGGGTTGCCCCAGGGGCAGCCCTGGCTTTGAAACATGGCCGCAGTGAAAAACGGCCTGGGCGCAGTGGGGAGGCCCTGCGCCCGCTTCACCCCTCGTCCCGCGCGGGCGCCGAGCTGAAGCTGCCGCTCTCCTCACGGTGCAAAGGCAACCGCCGGCAGACACAAAAGCTCCGCAGAGGCCAGTCAGGGCGCTGGTGAAAATGAACTCCAAGAGCTCGCTGCAAACAAGTAATTGGCATGTGCAGGATGCAAGCAAATAAACAGCAATAACGATTAAACTTTATTTAGATTTAATTTGATACTCAGCACAACAACAAGCACAGAAAGAATGAAGTGCCAAAATACCAAACCCATAGCATATAAAATAATCAAATATATTTCATATTTAGTAATATATTTCCACCACAAATTCATGGGATGCCCTAGGCAGCCCAACTCTGTGTGTATATAGCTATGATATATAAAATACTGTATGTAGAGAAAGCACTGGAACATATCACCAAAATAGAAAATAGCTCAAAATACGGATACTCCAGGTCTGCTAGTAATACCCAATATACTGGAAAAGGGCTCAAACCCACTGCGGGAGGTCGAGCTCCGGCTGTGAAGCCGACGGAGGCGGGAGGCAGCTGCACGGGGTGGTACTGGCCGGGACTGGGAGCCCCGGTGCTCTGGCTAAGCAGCCGCGAGGGCTGCAGTCCTGGGCACGGGCCCTGGCAAAGCTCCCCGGGGCAGAGCTGCCGCACAGCACCCAGATGTTATTCCGGACTTTAAAGGTGCCACTGTATGAGTTGGTGGGAATCAATTCCCATTAGCTCCAACTGCACAGAGCTGCAGGGTTGCAACTGCTCTGGTCCTCAAGGGAGCTGCAGGCCAAGTGGAAACCCGCTGCCACAAGGCAGAAACGCAGCAGAAAACACTGCTCTTGGCAAAGCCTCCCACTCGTCCTGAGGGTGAGCAAGGTCCATCTTGTACTTACAGATCCCGGGCAACTTGTAACAAGATATAAAAATATGGCATTGCTTCACGACAGGCCTCGAAAGCTCTGCATCTCTTGCTTTCTGCCCTGTAAAATTTTGTGCTCTCTGTGGGGCTGCTCCCGCACCACTGAGGCACAGCTCAGCCCCGGATAACGCTGTGGCTGCAGCTCCGCACGGAGCCACCGCTCCGCACGGAGCCACAGCTGCAGCCCTCGGGATACGGCAGCAGTGCTGTGGCAAAGAGCAGGAACTGAAACCTGCGGGTGGCATCAGCCCGGTTACGTTGCTACAAGTAACTGCCTGCTAACGGCCATGGGAGGGTGGCAGTACCAATTAAGTGAGTACAAATTCTTAGCGTCTGGAAAAATCATTAATAAAAATTTCATCCTGATAGCTGCTGATCACAGCTGAATACAACTACTCAGAGGAGACCATTAGAAAAAGTGTTTTTCTTATCAGAAGAAATTCATAAGGTTTGTCTGAGTGTTCATAATAAAGAGGGCGCTATATAGAAAAGTCCAGAAAATAAGCACACGTTTGTTTCTCAAAACCCATAGATATACATGACAATATCTCTAAGTTACTGGCTACTGAAGAGGATTTCATTTAGCTAAACTCAAGCTGTAGCCTAGTTTAAGTGTTTCCAAAGCAGCACATTGTTGTTTCCTCTGGAACAGCTGCACAGAGGGTCTTTGATATCAAGCTCTCGTTTAGGGGCATTTCGATTTCTCCTTATGCCTCCGAAGCACTGAAATAGGATGAAAAACAAAAAAAAAAAGACGACATTTCATTTAGTAGGAGTTTGGTGTGGGGAGGGAATAAACGGTCTCGAAGGCAGCAGCAGCAGCAGCAAGAAATGCTGCTGCATGAGCGCAGCCGTGGCAGAGCCGCAGGGCTCCCACGTCGCGTTTCAAAGGCGATGGCGCAGGCGGCGCTGGCCTGCGCGGGGTCTTGCCCACTGCTCAAGCAAAGGCCTGTTCAGAGGCACTTCCCCGAGGCCGCTCCTGCAAACAGCCGCCTTCGCTCTCCCGTGGTGGCTGCAGAGAAAGCGGCAGCGCGGAGGACGCCGGACCGCGCAGGCTGGCGGGAAGGCTCCCGGTTTGGCCCGCTCGGCTCCGCGTTGCGAAGGACTCACCGCTCGGCCGCCGCCGCCGCGTCGCCCTCCGCAAAAGGGATCTCTGCCCTGCCGGCCTGCCCCAGGACCAGGTGCTGCTTCTCCATGTTGATGATACACTGTAAATAACAAAGCCCTTCATGTAAGAGGGAAAACTGCAATCTGCAGTGGCCCTGGTAAATGCCCTGGTGCAGGAACCTCCTCACCTTCAGGGACTTCAGCGTCTGCAGCCCCAAGGAAAAGGGTTTCTCATTGTCTTCTGAAAAACACGTGTATTCAGACTTGTACATGCAAAAGATCCCTGGTGCTCTTTGCAAGCATTGCCTCCCTTCCCAGATGGCTGCCTGCTAAACACTGAGCAGTTTACACAGGGACTGAGCTGCCCTGGAGGGGACAAGGCAGCCAGAGCAGGAGGGGGAAGGAGCCTGGTGGGGCAGCCAGCTCCAGCAAGCAGCTTCTCCCCTGCCCGGACCGGCCGTGCTTACCCACGACGAGGGCGGCGCACTCCACGGACACGGCTCCCAGCGCCAGCACCAGCCCGTCCACCCGGCCGATCGCCCGCACGTCGTGCGGCAGCGAAACCCTCTCCTCGTCACTGCTGAAGGCCTTGAGGTGCTCCGATAACCTGCACAGTGAAAACGGAAACTGCCCATGTGCCGCCCATCTGGGAAGGGGCAAACTGCATCCGATGGGTCCCGTGCGCTCTGGGCCCCTGGCCTGCCCCTATTCCCTGCTGATCCCTGCTTTCCCGGTGAGTTATCTGCGGTGATCTGGCTACGGTTGCCAGCAGATAAACCACCTTGGATTGCAACAGACTTCCAAGGTATGGCCTTGGGGTTTGTGCAAGGATCAGACCGTGCACAAAGCAGAACTTGGATTGTACTTAACAACTCGCTGCTTCTCTTTATCCAGGGAATCCTTTCCTACGCTTCCTCAAGACTTGAGAAGTCGCTAATCTACAGTTTGTCTAGCGCAGGGCAGCAGGAGCAGCACCGCTCCGCCTGGACTTCCCTCAGGGGGCATTTTTGTGTCGGTGCCTCACAGCCAGGGCAGCGCGCGGCTCGTGCCTACCAGTGCCGACTTAAAAACCCTGTTGCATCCCCAAAGAGGAAGAAGGGATATCACAAGTACAGTAACTTCTCCTATCTACTTTCCATGAGCTATTTTGCACTGATACAGTAGTACTGATGAATTCTTCAGCTTTAGTTTGTGTTTTAAATTGAACTAGAGCCCAATACAGTCAGAGGCAATAATTCCTCTCTCAGATGAAAGCTCCATTTATTCTTGTTTGCCTAAGCAGAGGTGAGGGGATGAGCCCGGAGGGCACCAGGACACGCTGCAAAACGAGTTGTAGAGAGAGGATGCGCCAGGCTCGTGCTGGCATGAGGCGCTGCCCGCGCCGCCGGCCTCCCTGCTCCCGCGGGATGGACCTGGGACGCAGGACAGAAATGCAGCGCCGGGAGCAGACACCCCCCCCCAGCCGGTCGAGGCAGGCGGACGAGATGAGGTTGAACTGCGAGCCGGTGTCCACCACGGCCTTCAGCTCCTTGCCGGCACACTGTGAGGAGCCAGAAAGCCACACATGGCGGGAGAGGAAGGAGAGGGACTCGGTTACGGGCCCGCACCCTGCGAACGCAGCCCTCCCCACAGCCCCAGGAGGGGTGTCCGAAAGCCCTTGTGCCGATAGCGGAGCAGGGACGGTAGCAGCACGCGGACGTGCCTGGGCGAGCAGCGCGGCACCCTGGCCACGCGCAGCCCCCCCCGCGCCGCCTCGCGCCCCGCGGCGTGCGCGGGAGGACAGGGCTGCTCCAGTGCTGCGGGTGGCTACGTCGTTGTTAGAACCAGCTTTCTCTGCTGCAGCTAAACAGAGATTTGACCAAACAATGTCTTTGTTGAAGATGTCCGTGGCTAACTAAGGGCTGTGTTAATATAACACATTACACTAGCATCCCAAGTGGGAAAACCAGGGAATCGGGCGCACCGCTCGAGCCTGTCAGAAATCCCCTGGACGTGAGGGAGGGAGCATTACCTGGCAGCTCACCACGATGAGCTCCTCCTCCTCCGTCCTCCCGGGGCTGCCCGGCTGGGTCTGACTCGGCTTACCGGGGATATCGTTCTTGGGAGCCCAGGTGCCTCGGCCGCTTCGTAGTTTTGATAAGTTTGTTTCCATCAGGCGCCTCTGCAGGATACTATGCGGTTGCTTTAGGGACAAGCAGAAGAGACGGGAGGATGAAGCAAGCGGAGGGCAGCACGGCCGCGCTCCCGCCACCCGACCCTGCAGCTCTCATGCGGGCGCCGCCTCAGGCACCCGCTCGCCTCAGGATTAGGGGCTTGCGCCTCGTTCCTGACCAAGCGTGTTCCTCGTAGGCTAAACCGCCTGGTTATTGCTTAAGTGCTGGCTTACCTGAGTTGAAACAAACAGAGCCACTTTGCATTGGCAAGGAAATAACCCTCAATGTTAACCAGGCTTTGGAGGATGGTTTTGCTTTTCCCACTTCAGATTCAACGTCTGATTTCTAAATAGGAATCAAAACAAGTCTGGGTTCTCAAAGGTGCCGTTTCAGCTGAAACCACCCCGAACTGTTGATAGGAATATCAGGAATTCTGCAGCAACCTGAGAAGTTAAGAAGTAACGAATTACCTTCCCGACTACGCGCACCAGCTGATCATGAGGAGGGCCTCCTGAGGTGGGGCCTGCGCGCGGAGGCTGTCGCCAGCGCTGCTGACGCAGGACGCAGCCGAGGCCCATCCCGCCTCCGGCGACGCTCCTCGCGCAGAAGCCAGGAGGCCGAGCTGGGGTGCACAAGGCTACGATGGGGGCCAGCCCCCAAGGCACAGCTGCAAGAAGATGGCTAGAAATCCTGTCTATCGACAGACCCTGCATGGCCTTCAGACCAGGATCTGCTCTAATATAAGACTTTTGCTCTGCCTCTCTTGCCTCCACGTAGCAATGCAGCTGGCAGGAGTGAGCCCCGGGTGCTCGGCCTTGCCATGGGAGAGGAGGAGGAGAGAGAAAGTCCCCCGGGGAAAAGACGTGCCCGGGCATCCCCATATTCACAGGTCCTTTCCTTGCTGCTGATGTCGTTTTCACTGTCTCTGCGACACGCATGCCCCGCTCAATACCACCACCGACAGCTTGCCCAAAGCCTTTTTGTGTTTGACATTAGTCATGGACAGATGCATGTACCCTGCTGGGGGTGAAATGACTCTGCCTCACGATCTGCTTTTTCCTCTGCCTGGCTAAGCTTCCCCCGTTACACTGCCCTTTCCTTATGATTTTAATTGGACGACAGCAAAACCGCCTTTTCTTCTCATTTGCGAGCATTTGCCTTCATATTAAATATTCCCGTGTACCTGCAAAGGCATCTGAAGCAATAAGCCTCCTAATTCTGAGGGAATTTCATTGGGATTAGGATCCTTCTGAAAACCCCAGGCTCTCGTTCTCTGAGCAGGCACCCTTGACCTGAATGCTTCATCTCTGAAATGTGCTGCGCAGCACGTTAAATAACAGCACTTACAGGAGACTAATGTAACCTGGCAACTTCCAAAAATAACTGAAGCAATACTGGTGCTTCAGAGTCTGCTGTGGGCACAACACTCATAGTCAAACCAGACGTGACCAAAGAGATCAGGCGGATGCAGTAGATACTAGTGGTCCCTGGAACATAATTTCCCCCCCACTTTTCACTGTTCTTACTTCTGTGACTTGGAAGGGAACAAGATTTCATCCTGATTTTCATTTGCAGATGCTCTGCCTGCCTGGCACTCCTGAGAGCAGATACTGTGTAAAGGGGATAATGTACCTGTGCTCACAGCACCTGGAAGGAAATTCAGACCCTGCACTATGCCGCCTCCTCTACTTGCAAAAAATAACCAGGCAAACCACCACGCTGCTCAGGTGAACTCCCTTCTTCCCAATAAAATCAGTGAGACTAAACCACAGAAAATGCTATTACTGAGGTTGATTAAAAGTGGGCAGACTGGCTTCACTATTAACGGTGCAAATTCTGCACTGAAAGATGAAGAAAATCAATTCAGAAATGAGTGCTCTCCTAGATGAAGCAGAAGCAAGAAGTGCAAAACCAGAACTGCTACCACAAGAAAGGCTACACATATGAGCAAAAAAGCCAGATGGGGTTTGCTGACAGTGGATGGTGTATCCTTATTATCCTTAATATTTTCCTGCAGTTCCAATACACATTTGGAAGGTTTATCCCCCACATTAAAAATAAATAAATAAATAAACATTAGGAGTTGGAGACATAGATGGATGAAGTTCCCAGCTGACTTGTTTGGTCACTGCCTCCATCCAGCCCCTATCAGCTGCGTTTGGGACTGACAGAAATTTTTGACCAGCTGTAATCCAGGGCAGCCTGGCTGCTCTGTTGATCTGCCTGGTCCAAAACGCAATGCCAAGGTTCTTTGCAAGAACATGCTAGAGAAGAACAAGTCACCACATCCTCATCATTGCTGTTTTGACTGTGATTTATCATTGATCTCAACCCTAAAAAAATAAAACAAATAAATGAAAAAAAAACAGAAAACCCCACAACTTACCACAGGATATTAACCAGCTCCATTTATGGGTTTTCTCAAGTGAAAAGTAGAGATGCTCACAGCCTGAACTGTGGTGAGGGCCTGGTTTTACGAATCTTACATGGCACCCATCACTGAAAGAACAAAAATCCAGCAGCATTCAGCAAACAGGAGCTGCCGCCAGAAACGGGACCATCTTTTGTTGATGCTTGTTCTTGTGAAAGCCCCGGCGATTCCTTCCTTCAGGGGGAGAAACGTTGCTCACGTCGTGCTCCAGTACATAAATAATGTAGCAAAATGGAGTTGAAATGATTCCCTGCAGCACCATTCTGTCCAAGACTGTTAATTAGTTTGCTTTAACTTGTATTTCCCTTGACTTCTGTGTGTAACAGAGCAAGGAATGTTAGTCACAGAGATGACTCAAATGATGGATTCGTGCTTCGGTAAACAGATAATGTGCCAGGGGACATTTGCAAATGCACATTTTGCTGAAAAACTGCAAGCAGACCGTGTATGAAAGGAAAAGCAGGAAAACCTCTCCATGGAGAGAGATCTGTATGTCAGTAGTGGTCCCTTTCAGTTTAGGTCGGCAGGTACCTAATGCTGGTAATGCTGGCACCAATGCTTAATGCAACCCAGATGATCATAGAATCACAGAATGCTTAAGGTTGGAAGGGACCTCTAGAGATCATCTAGTCCAACCCCCCTGCACACACAGGGTCACCTAGAGCACGTGGCACAGGACTGCGTCCAAGCGGGTTTTGAAGATCTCCAGAGAAGGAGACTCCACAACCTCTCTGGGCAGCCTGTTCCTCTGTCACTCTCACTGTTAAGAAATTTTTCCTTAAGTTCCTGCAATGATCAAGCACTATCGCTCAAGAGCTTTATGAACAAAGTGCTATATGCCACTGTATATGCCAAAAAAAAAGTTATTTCCTGGCATTGTCTGGCACGATATAAACATCAATCATGAATGTTTTCCTAAAATATCCCCCTCTCCATCCCTGAGAACTTTGCAAAAAACAAAACAACCCTCTCCCCACCTCCCAAAAAAGAGTGGAAGCCTAAAATGAGTTCTTTTTTGTGTCCATCAAAACCAGAAATAACTCAACCCAATTCTGTTTCCCGCTAGCTCACACATAAACGAGCAGTCGCAACTCGCAGCACGTGTCTCCTGGGCCGGGTTTCCCATTGCTTTGGCTGGACCTCACAACAACAAGACCCTTCCAAGTGGTTTCTCGGAGGGCTCTCCCTTCCGAGAGCCTCACACCAGGTCTGTCATCTCCTTTGCACCTGAGCAGAATGGAGAAGTTTTAACACGCGAGAACCCATTGCTCTCTCTGTTTCCCATCCCTCAGCCAAATCCACCTCTTCTTCCATCATCCTCCGCCTGAGCAGCACGAGTGGCTGTTTGGAGGCCTCGCTCCGTAGCACGAGGGGACGGTGCCTGTCCCTGCTTGGTGCTGCTTTCAGCACGCGTTGCGCCGTGCGGAGCCGCGCGCCTGCGCGTGTCCGCGAGCCGCTAAGGCGACGCTAGCGACCGTACGGGTGCCCACGCGCTCCTGTATTCCCTGCAAGGTGACTGCCCCCGGGCTGCCAGCTTTGCCACGCAGGTGCAAAGGGTGAAGCCTCCTACGTCAGAGCCAACCAGGGCCTCTCGGACCAGAAGTAAATGGGCCGTAAATCAGGAAATATTGATTGATACGCGCTAAAAGGGCAGAGAACAGAAAATTCAGCACAATGAGGCAGCAAAATAAATTATTCAAGGCCCTGCAAGAGCAGCTTTTCCTTCCCCTTGCTCTCCCTCACCTCTCCTCACCCTGTCCCTCTGCTCTTGCCACAGGCAGCGTCAGGAGCGAAGCTTGTGGTCGCGGCACCACGCAGGGCACCGTGAGCTGCTTGTCCAGCCCCTCTGCTCGCTCTTCACCACAGGCTCCAGGACACACAACCTGGGGGGCACTTCCCTAACTGCCAGGGAAGGCCAGACCTGGGCAAGGTCCCTGGGCTGCCCCTTTATGTTCCGTGTGGCCCCAGCCCAGGTGCTGCAGTAAGTGCAGTAGTTCTCAGTGATTGGGAAGGAAGGAGACCTCTTTCTGCCCTTCTTGGAGGCTTTCACGCATTGCTTGGCACTAGGTACGGGAGATACGTCCTGACACGAGGAAGCGCTGCCAAGCAGGACGATTTTCCGCACTGTGCTTTGTCGATGGGATACACAGGGCCTTCCCTGAGCACTCAGCCCCAGAGCGGGAGCTGGGGCATGGCCATGCCCAGAGCTGCTGCCTCCGCTCGGCACACACCAAGGACTTGCTCTCCACCTCGCTGGCCCGAGGGAAGTTTCACATAAAAGAGGCAGATCAGAAACGTGGTGCATGAAGACTCTAGTGAACGTGAAGAGCACCAACAAGCACAAGTGCTTCCGAGCCCTGCCTAGAAAACTGGAAGTCTGGTAGAGTGCGCTCTGCGACACTGCAGAGAACAGAAGTCTGTGAGAGTGTGCTCTTATTTTATACAGATAGACACCAGACTTGGAGAGAGTTGGCAGCTGCAGGAGCACTGTGCTGACAAGCACCCAAGATCTAGCGCGAGTTATTGCAAAGACTCCCTGGGCACATGCACCCTGCACCCCCAAGGCTGCCCCACCTGCACGGGGAGCCGTGGGGATGCGCTGGTGCTGCAGCACAGAGAGGGCCCCGGTGCTCCCAGCAGGGCAGGGCAGGAGCCGGCGCAGGCGGGAAGGCCCCGGCCCGCGCTCGCCCCGGGCCTGCGCTCCCGCTCGCTCGCGTCTGGGACCCACACGGGTTATTTGGCCTCTGTGCTCGTGCAAAGAACAGCAAGGAGGAGAGCCCTGCACCTGGACGGGGCGCTGGAGCCCCCCAACGGGCAGCTGCAGCGGGGAGGCTCCGCGCGGCTCCTGCCAGGCCCTCCCTCCCGCAGCAGCCACTGCAGCCCAGGGATGCAAAACGTCTCCAGTGTGGAAAAGCACTGCCGTGAGCAACGCAGAGAACGCCAAACTCATCCCACGTATTGCACGTGGACGGAGCCAGGGCAGAGCCAGCTGAGCAGGAGGACAGTGTTAGAACAAAATGACCCTGCTACTAATAAAAAGCATCACCTTTTTCATTAAATCTACATCAAACCTTAAGAAAGGAGACTTACTCTTTGTCACCAGCAGCAAAATTGTGAAAGAATTGGTGGGGGGAGATAGGAGACTTCCCCCGTAGGGCATATTTCCTATAAAATATTTCCTAGGTTTTGCTCCTTTCCACTAGAATTTTTCATATCACACTTGGGCATTTGCCATTAGCGAAAGCTCAGACATTTGTGCACGTTAATATTTAGACAAGCTCCTAGCCCCTGGACATGATAGAGGATGTTACATACCAGCTACAGGATCACATGGATCATGACATGTGCATATATTTAAAAGCTAGAATCAAGTATCTCTGTTAAAAAAATGCATAAGTTGTCATCAAATTGTAATTTTAGTAAATTCATATTTTGAATTACTAGTGACTGCATTAGACTGAACTTTAATGAATGTGCTGAGCGTATTTATTATATGCATGTACCACAGAGAAATACATGTATGTATGTATGTATTATATGAAGCCATTTTGATTTACTGTGATTCAGGAGTATTGTGTGCTGAAAACAGCAGCCCCTTTTCTGACATTTGTGCAATGCAAACAAAAACAAAACAAAAAAGCATTTAGAGCTGAATGCAACTAGCCAAAAGCAGCATTGGTGATTCCTAACATGATATTTCTACTGCTTTTCTTCATACACAAAAGCCTCCTCCTTATGCCCATTTCCACAAGCAACAAACTTATAGCCTCAACAATAAACTGACATTAAGAACAAGGTGGGGGGAAAAAAGAAAACAAAACAGACGCTGACACACCAGCCTCTTCAATGCCTCGGGTTCCTTTCAGCAAACGGAATAAATCTTACGGTATCTTTCGAAGTGCCCAGCTTCTTCAGCCCGTCCAGAGGGAGGAGGTCCGCGGAGTCCTTGTGAATGAACTGCACCGCCTGCTTCATGCGCCGCTGCTGCCGCAGGGCCCCGGCCTCCCGCA